GTGAAAATTAAAAGTTTCTACATTCATAATAAATCTATTCATTTGCCATCCACAATAATAATTTTAGAGTAGAAGTGACAAGCGTCCAATTTAAAATAATTTCCATCTTAAATTTATAATTATCCATATTCATTTGATTACGCATCGATTTCGCATCTTAAAACGCTGCATTAAGTCAGTTGGTATAATTATAAAATTATAATTCTGAAAACAATGGAGAATGCAAACAAACAAAAATTCATTCTGTTCTGGAAACATACAATATAATTCGTTTAATCTTCAGTTCCTCACTCAGGAATAAGATTTTCTTCTTGCAAATTATCTTCTTCATTATTATATGAATATTCATTGACTTCTTCGAATTCAGGATCTTCCCCTTGCTCTTCACCTTTGTTCTCTAGTGCAATATCACTTGCAATTGAAGCATTTTCAAAAAGTTCATCATTACAGTTTTTACATCTGTAGCTACATTTTATTCCAGTTTTTTTGCATGAGCAACGAGAAGTACTACAATTCGTTTTATTATACATCCACAGAAAATCTGTAAATGAAGTAAATTATTTTACCTCCAGCAATTCAATAATAAGACATACATACAAATTTTAATTTATATTGTAGTTTCATGATAAAAATTGGATATATTGGGAGTACAAATAGAAAATCGCCGTTTTTTATAATAATTTGAGGTTTTATTGTAAAAAACTCGTTACAATCTCATTCTTCAAAATAATTTCCATCCTTAGTCACAACTTTTTCCCATCTTTCTGGCAGCTTCTGAATTCCTCTTCGAAAAAACTATTCGTCTTTTGACGCGATCCACGAATCGATCCAATTTTTGGTTTCTTCGTAAGAACGAAAGTGCTGTTCGGCCAGGTCATGCGACATCAATCGGAACAAGTAGAAATCAGAAGGGGCGATGTCAGGAGAGTACGGCGGGTGCGATAGGATGTCCCATTTCATAGTTTCCAGGTATGTTTTCACGACCTTGGAAACATGTGGCCGAGCGTTGTCATGCAGAAATATGACCTTGTCGTGCCTTTCCGCGTACTTTGGGCATTTTTCCTTTAACGCTCGACTCAAACGAATCAACTGCGTCCGATAGAGGACTCCTGTGATGGTTTCGCGTGGTTGCAGGAGTTCATAGTAAATTACGCCAAGCTGGTGCCACCAAATACACAGCATCAGCTTCGAGCCATGAATGTTTGGTTTCGCTGTCGAAGTTGATGCATGGCCGGGAAGACCCCACGATTTTCTCCGCTTTGGGTTATCATAGTGTATCCACTTTTTATCGCCGGTCACAATGCGATGCAAAAAACCCTTCCTTTTTTGCCGTTAGAGGAGTTGTTCGCACGTGACAAGACGCCGTTCGATGTCCCTCGGCTTCAGCTCGTACGGCACCCAACATCCCACTTTCTGGATCATTCCTAAGCATTTCAAGCGATGGGAAACGGCTTGCTGAGTTACGCCCAATAAATCCGCAAGTTCCTGTTGCGTTCTGCAAGAATCTTCATCCAGCAAAGCCTCCAATTTCGCATCCTGGAACTTTTTTACGGGTCCGGGACGATCCTTATCATCTACGTCATACTCGCCATTTCTAAACTTTTGGAATCATTCCGGACACGTTCTTTCACTAATACAGCTGTTACCATAAGTTTCTACAATCATTCGACGCGCCTCAGCTGCATTTTTTCCCGAATGAAATGCAAAAAGCAACACTTCCTGCAAATGTCTCCTGTTCGGCTCGAATTTTGCCATTTTTGCGCACGAACAAAACAAAGCACAGTAAAAATAGACAAGCGAGGTGATGAAGAGTTGTTGACAAATGCCTCAGCTGGCTATGTAACGTTCCTGTTAACAATTTTTTACCGACGTGCAATACTGACGCCACCTATGGGAAAACGGCGGTTTTCTATTTGTACTCCCAATAGAATTTCATGACCAAATCAAAATTATGCTATTTTTACATTTAACTATGTATAATGTTACTTACTACTTCTATCAACTCCTTGTGTGCTTCTGGTTCTGGGTTCATTATGGATACCATCATATTACTTGTTCTCTTCCACCCCCAAGATTCTAGGTTTAATTCGAAACCAAGCCAAACTTGCATCTGGTAATTACCTGTTTAGTGTGTTTTTTCAATACTGCAACTGTAGGTGGTAACAATTTTAAGGAAAATTCTTTTTTCGCTGCCACTGCAGCGGTGGTAAAGCTGTTATATCTAAATTTTTGTAAAGATTAGCTTTCGTTATATAGACTATATAGTTTCATAATCAGTTTTTCAGCAACTTTGTACAAATCATCAATATGTTGATCTAGTTTGTAAAAGATACATATTGATTTCTGTAAATCTTTATTTTTTTGTAAGATTGTGATAATACTTTTTTCCCTTTACCGAATATTGCACTTGTCGAATCGCACCCTGCAAACCCATGAGCAAATAAAATATACTTTTGAAATTTCGAATTGAAAATATAATATGTTCTTTTTTTATTTGTTTATAAAAATATATATCGCAGCCGTCACATTGCGGTATTAATAGAATTAATAAACCCACATCGTTGGCAATAACTGTGATCATATTTTTTTTTTTTTTTTTTTTTTTTTTTTTTATGGTGGTAAAAAAACAGGATAAATCCTCATGGACCATAACGGTTGGAGTGTGACGGCAGTTCACCGAAGCTACCCACCTACACTCTCCCACCCGCCGTGTGACGTGACTCGCTGATCCTCTCAGACCGGGCTGTTTCAAGCGATCTATCAATCGAACGCAAGGAGCCTCCGGGTCGTCGAAGACCAGCTGACCGCCCAAATCCCGCTTCTCTTCAACCGGAGGGTAAACCATCCGGGGAAGAGTAGTAAAGTCCACCTACACCATTCTCCAGCGGGGAACCGCGTAAGCATTACTTCCCGCTGGAGAACCGCGTCAAGTCCTCTCGTTGTCCACGGGTCCTGTATCGTTTCGTTACGTCCGTTTATTCACATTCATCCATTTGTTCATACCATTTACTCCCGCATTCTTCTCGTCTAACACTCGACTTCCAGGCAACCGTCCGCCTTTTTCCCTCGTAGGATAGTCTCAACGTACGTTGCCGTTACCGTCCAGTAGTCTTTGTCTTGTAGCATCTTTGCCACAATGTTGTTGGGCGTGATGTTTCCAAGCGTCGTCTCCAGTCTTTGCCTTTCGTCGTTCCAGTGTGAGCATTTGAAAAATGTATGCTCTGCGTCATCACATTTGTATCCACAGTATTTACAGTCGGCGCTGTTAACTTTGTTTCTGTCAAACAGATATTTCCTGAAGTACCCGTGGCCGGTAAGAAACTGGGTCAGGTAAAAATTCACTTCCCCAAATTGCCTCTCCGTCCACGGTCTCAGGTCGTCAATGAGTCGTCTAGTCCATGCTCCGTTCGTGCTCATCCTCCATTGTTTGTTCCAGTCCGTCATCGTCCTAGTTCTTTCGTCCTGGGCAGCTTCCGTTCTGGTCATGTCGCTGTTTCGTTCGTACACGCGTTTCCGCTCTCTGGCGAGCATGTTTATCGGGATAACCCCCGCCACCACCAGGACAGCCTCAGCCGAGACTGTCCTGTTGGCGCAGGCTATCCTCAGTGCTCCCTGTCTTTGTACGTTTGTCAGTCGTTTGCAGTATTTCTTGACCCCCAACGCGTCGGCCCACACCTCCGCCCCGTAGAGCATGATCGAGTGGGTCGTTGTCATCAGTAGTCGTCTCTTCCATTGTCTCGGTCCAAATGTATTTGCCATAAGACGACTGAGAGCGGAAGTCCTCTCTGCCGCCTTCCTCGCTGTCTGTTGTATGTGCGGCCAGAAGGTCATCTTCGTATCTAGGGTCACCCCCAGATACTCGACCGCCCCACTGGTCCGCAGCGATACCTCTCCGACTGTCATGGGAATCAGGGTATTAATCCTGCTTCCCGTCAGAAGGATGAGTTCTGTCTTGGCCAGGGCAAGGCTAAGTCCGCGTTCAGTCATCCATCTATTGATTCGTAACATCGCGCGGTTCAGAAGCATTTGCGCCAGCTCCGGGGTACGGGCTATTATCACCACAGCCACATCATCGGCGTAGGCAACCAGCTCCACCCCCGGTGGCATCGGTAGTCTTAGTAGTGCGTCGTACAGTATGTTCCAGAAGTCGGGTCCAAGGATTGAGCCTTGGGCGACTCCTGCTGTGATTCGTCTGGTCACTGTTCTGTCGGTCGTCTCGTATCGAATCCATCTGTCGTGTAGGTACTCCCTCATCACCCGCATCAGGTATTCGGGAACCCTGAAAGTTTGTAGGGCCTCCAGAATATCCCCCCACCGAGCGGAGTTGAAGGCATTCCTGACATCAAGAGTCGCGAGAAGTACTATTGGCCTCGCTCCGTAGCACACGAGCCTCGTCCGCCGAAAGGCGTCGGTCACTTGTCGAATCGCCCCTATAGTTGAGCAGCCCCGTCTGAATCCGTACTGGTTTCCTGCAAGTCCTCCGTTTGCAGTTACCGCGTTCGTCAGTCTTGGTTTCAATAACGCTTCGTAAAGTTTACCCGCTGTGTCTAGAAGACTCAGGGGTCTATAGGAAGACGGACTATTCGGCTCTCCTTTTCCTTTATGCAGGAGAACCAGTCTAGCAGTCTTCCATCGTCTGGGAAAGATGCCCGCACGTAAGACCGCGTTATACTTATCCAGGAGGAGTCCTGGACGTACGCTCACGATCTGCTGGAGGATCTCTCCCGGTATACCGTCTGGTCCGGGTGTCTTACCAGGCTTGATCGTGGACACAGCCTTAATAAGCTCTGCCCCGACAAACTCTGGCACTGTCGTCTCTTGTTCGTTCGTCATTTCTTCCGTCTCTGGTTGGTTTGGGAAAAGTCCATCTACTATTGCTTTCATGGTGTCTTTGTCTTTTGGTTCAGAAGGGCCAAGGGCCCCCAATTTCTTGGTCACAATCTTGTAGCCAAGTCCCCAGGGGTCCCGCTCCACTTCTTCACACAACTGTCTAGCGCATCGGTTTTTACTGTCCTTTATTTTAGTGGTCAGTCTCTTACGTGCCATCTTGTACGCTGTCGATAGTTCGTCCGCGTCTGGTCTGCTCTTTTTCCGTGCGCGGTTCATCCTCCGGCGGCAGGCAATGCATTCCCCACGGAGGAGGCCAATCTCGTCCGTCCACCAGTACATTGCTCGTTTGTGTGTTCGGCCCTTGCGTCGAGTCATCGTGGCGTCGCACAGTTCCGTTATCAGTTCCGTTGTCTTGTCCGTTATCCATTCGGCACGCTCCCGCAGACCAAGCTCTGCCGGGACAGACTCGGCGGGTAACGGTGCCTCCCTTAGCAGTTTGTCAAACAGCTCTCTATCTTGTCGTCGTAAGTTCCAATACGTTGAAGTCCTGTCTCTAGTTTGTCCGTTTCGTATGTTCGTCGATTGATTTGTCACCTCAAAGACGATGTGCTGATGATCGCTGGCTGTATAGTCCTCGGTCACCCGCCATCCTCTTATCCGCGACGAGATCCTGTCTGACGTCATCGTCACATCGGGTATTGAGTATCCGAAGCCCGGTCGTCTATAGGTCGTTGTCGTCCCTTGGTTGACCACTACCAGATCAAGCCTTGCGGCCATTTCCAGAAGCAGTCTTCCTCGTTTGTCCGTCGTTGTCATACCCCACTCGACCGCTCTCGCGTTCATGTCTCCCGCGACGACAAAGTCACCCGGGAGACCTGTGAGGGCGTCTTCCAGCTTACCGACTTTTTCCTCGTACACTGCCATCGTGCAGTTTGGGGTCAAATATACGCTAACGTAGGTGACGGAATCTACCCTCACCCACGCGTAATCTTCCCCCCTGCCAGACGCTTGTATTCTCCTAGCCGGTTTGCCTTTGACCCATATGGCCGACGTACCGAGGGTATTCGAGAACCAGCCGTCCTGTTCTCGTAAGTCCCACAGTTGCTCGCTCAGTATCAGTATGTCTACGTTTCGTTCCTTCGCTGTCTGTGATATAAGCAGCTGGGCTGCCTCGCACCTACGCAGGTTTCCTTGTAAGATTCCTGTCATTGTCGTGTCTGCTTCCGGCACTCCTCCAGCGCTGCCCGGTAGGCCGCGCACGCTCCCGTTCCCGGGACGTGCGCCCTCTCCGTTGCACGCGCCTCGGAACATAGGAAGCACGTCGGCTGTTTGGTGGGGCAGGCTCTCCCGACATGGCCGGTCCCCCCGCACCTCCAACAGCACTGTCCTCTGTCAGGTCCTGTGCAGTCCGTTCGTCTATGTCCGTATCCGAGGCACCGGTAGCACCTCGGGACCGTCAATCTTTCTCTCAGCCGACAGTTGACCCAGCCGATCTTAATTCTGCCCTTCTTGAGCAGTTTGTGGGCCGTGTCTCTGTCTGCTTCGAACACTGCCATACAAACGTCGTGTTTATTCGGTCCGAAAATGTGGATCTTAAAGTCCGCATCTTGTCCTGTTTCTCGTTTCAATGCGTTCTGTACATCATTCGTGTCTGTAACACAGTCGAGGTCTAGTATCTCTAGTGTCTGTCCGTGTGTCATGTCTCGTACATTACCCTCATTTCCAAGAGTAACCTGGAGTTTCTCCTGGAACTTCCGTCTTGCGTCTGCGTTACAGCGAAAGCGCATGAGGAGTCCTCCGTCCTTAGTCTTCCGATATCCCGAGATATTCACTTTAGAGCCCTCGGGATTAATCTCCGTCTTTAGTCTGCGCAGGGTATCCGCGTACGTTCGTCCGTCGTTTGGCCGTACCAGTATAACGTTGGTCCCCCCCTTCCGGCGGGAACCACCCGCACTGGGCCGGTTCTTGTCCAGCTCGGGCCGTTTGTTCCCGTGGATAGGCGTCGCCGCTGCGGATGTCGAAGCTAGTGGCCTCTCCCTCCGCGCGCCCAGCGCCACCACAGGGGTAGTCTGTTGCGTCTTCTGTTTGAGGGAAGTCGTCTCCGTCGTTTGGTCATTAGTCTTCTGTTTAGACTTCCTCTTTTTTCTGTTCGCGGAGTTCACCGTGGTCCAGCCTGACTCGTCCGCAACCCTTTGATAGGCCACGGCTTGCTCAGGGCTGGCCCCCGTGTCCTCCCTCTTTCTTTTCTGTCTTTCTGTCCTCCTGTCGTTTACGGACTCCAGGAGGGGATTTAGGCGGTCGCATTCACTCCATGCAATCTCCACCGCCTCCTTTATTACAGCCATACTAGTCGTTATGTCCGTACTAATATTTCTCTGTATCTTAGTCCGTGCCTCCATCTTTTCGAGCGCGGCATCAATGCGCCTGAGCTGCGTGCGAAACAGCTGGAGGTTTTCTGTCATATGTCCGTTGTCATTGTCCACGTCTTTCATGTCGGCGTCAGTGTTGGAGGTCTGCTTTTCGGAGCCCTCGTTTTTCCGCGCAGGTGGCACTTGTATGCGCCGCAGCGGTACCGTCACGTCTCGTGTATCACTAGTTCTTGTCGGTGTTCGTCCTGTCGTCGGTTCTTGGCCCTCAGCGGCAGAGACGTAGCTCACCCCGCTGCCGCCGCTTGACCCACTGTCCGTCCTCTGTCGTCTCGGTATGTTCAGTAGTTTCTTGTCGTTTTTTCCTGTCTTTCCCCCCATTCCCGTGCACAAAGTGCGGCCCTCAAAATCCGTGCCGCTGCCCGTGGCCACCGGGGCTTTCACCCGATCGGAACCCGGGGTGGATTCCTCCTGAGAAGGAGTTACCACTTGAGGTACATCAATGTTTTCATTGTGCATATTCATATTGTTGGTTTTGTCCCGTTGTGCTGAAGGTCCCTCGTGGTCGCGACTCCACGAACCGCGCTGGGACAGCGCACGGCCCCTGAGGTCCCCCCCCCCTGTATGTTTACCCTGTGTGTTCAGTGTTCCCCCCTGTGGTGTGTGCGTGTACGTGAGTGCCCATAGGCGAAACCGGGCTTCATTCACGGGGAGAGTCCGTTTAGAGATATCCCCTTCTCTCGCTTTCGGGCGACTTCGTTTATAGGAGTCCCCGACCATTCGCTTTTCGGTAAGACCCGTTTATAGGGTCACCGAGCATTCACTTCTCCGGTTTGCCAGAAGGCGTGTGTGTGTGAGTGTTTGCGTAGTGTGTGTGTGTGTATGTGTATGAGTGATTAATGGTTGGACACATCGGCAGAATACCATTATCTTTTGCGTCATTTGTGAGCCATATCTTCCTCTTGGCCGTATCCGTTATAGCGTTGCTGCTCAGAGCATTGACGCGACGGACAACGTTTCCACCGGGCACGTCGTGGACGTTGGAAGCTAGCATTTGCCCAGTGAGGTGTTACCACTCACTGGACCAGCCCGGCCGTATCTATTATTATTATTATTATTATTATTATTATTATTATTATTAGACATATAGGGTGCTTTTTTTAAGCTCAGGGACACTTACAAGGAATCCCCCCCAACCCGACCTCACCGATTTCAATAATCTTTTGATATGTTATAGTTCATCAAAAAATAAGACATACGTATTTTTTTTTATCGGCGGAAAAACACTTTGAGGGGGTGAAAGCAACCTTCAAAGTTCACCCCCAAAAATAGATTTTCCAATGTATCTCAGCATCTAATTGATATTTTACGACCAAACAAATTTCATATCACTTCTCATGTGAAAAGCAAACTAGCACATGCAATTCGGACCACAAGAGATGCAACCCTTAATTTTTTTATTTAAAATACTATCTATTTCATGGCTATTTTTATGAAAAGAATTAAAATAACCCGAAAAAAATTGGAAAAAATATTACCCTACATAAAATACAAAAATAAAGTTAATCTAGTCAAGCTTTTTTTCAAACCACCCCCTTAAAGTTGAAAAACCACCCCTAAAAAATTGTTTTCAATACATTACAGGTGGTGTTGATAATTTAGTGTAAAATACGTTAAGCATCATTTATACTGTACAAACACAACTATCTCGTGCAGTTTCGACCACAAGGGTTGCAACCCCTAATTTCTGTCATCGAAATTTTTACCTTCTTTGTACCTATTTTTTAAGAAAAGTTCATAATGAGCTTAAAAAAATTAGAAAAAATATTACCACGGATAGAATAAGAAAAAAAAATTTACTTCTCATTTTTAAAACCACCCCTAATTTCGAAAAACCACCCCCAAAAAATTGTTTCCAATACATTACAGGTCCTGTTGATAATTTACTGTAAAATACGTTGCTCATCACTTATAATGCACAAACACATTTATCTCGTGCAGTTTCGACCACGAGGGTTGCAACCCCTAATTTATGTCATCGAAATTTTTACCTTCTCCATTCCTATTTTTGAAAAAAAGTTCATAATGAGCTTAAAAAAATATTACCGTGGATAGAATAAGAATAAAAAATTTACCTGTTCAAACTTATTTTCAAAACCACCCTCAATGTTGAAAAACCATCCTAAAAAAAGTTTCTGACATATCGTTGCAATCTCTTCTAAATCAAATAAGCTATGATTCCATAGCTATTTTGTTGCTCTCTTTTAAATTTTTTATGTTCTATCGTTTATTAATTCTATCAAAAAATAAATAACTTTTATTATATAAAAAAACAAGTCAAGAATAATATAATATTATAAGTATACCTAGAAGATAAGTATAGTTTCTCGAATGCGCAAAAATTTTGGTATATGAATGATAGTATTATCAGAATTTTATTTACGTCCTACTATCAGCGTCTCTGACGATTGTCTGTTATTTTCATGATTGATAAATATGAGTAAGTAATTCTTCATCAGTAGCCAACACAACTTTCTTGTTGTTGGACGTATTGTATCGACTATTGAACTAACAGCATAATAAATAGTAATAAGAATATAAGATTATAAGTACAAATAATAATAAGATACTATTTCGTTAATTCGTATTTCGTAGTACCTGCTACGTAAGTATAACTATAAATTTATTTTTTATATGCAAATAATTTTACGGTTTTTGAATATTTGTTATTAAAAAAATTGAAATTACACTGATTATGAGGATTTATTAATTAATGATGTTTATAATTATTGTTTACTTATTGATTTGTTTATTATTATTGTTTATTAATTAATATGTTTACTTTTTAATTTATTAATTAATTTTTTTCATGAATGTTTTCTATAAGTTTGTTTATCATTATTGTTTACTTATAAATTTGTTTATTTATTTGTTTTCATCCTAATTTGTTTATTTGTTATTCAGTTTATTTCTTATTCCCCAGCGATATCAGGAGAGACCTATACAGAGGAAAAATAAGGAAAAAAAGGGGACGGATGGATGGACGGACGCACGGAGAATTTCGCGCCTTCTGTTTAATATAATAGAAGATATATAAGATATACTACTGTGGGCAAAAAGTAAGGTGAATTTGTTTGTAAAATGAAAAATTTATTCTTCTACATCAATGTCATCCCCTTCGAAATAATCCCCTCCCGATAAAATACACTTATGCCAACGTTTTTTCCAATCCTCGAAACATGCCAAATAGTCCCTTTCCGGTATAGCCATCAGCGCCTTCTTCGATTCAGCTCTTATCTCCTCAATCGACTCGAAACGCGTTTCCCGGAGTGGTCTCTTGAGTTTTGGGAATAGCCAGAAGTCACACGGAGCCAAATCAGGCGAATACGGTGGTTGCGGAACGATATGCGTCGAATTTTTGGCGAAATGGTCACGAAGAACGAGTGCAGTGTGAGATGGTGCATTATCGTGATGCAAAAACCAAGAGTTGTTGGCCCATAATTCTGGTCTTTTTAGACGAATTGCTTCACGCAAACGACGCATAACGCTCAAATAATATTCCTTATTAACAGTTTGGCCGGGTGGAAGGAATTCATAGTGCACCACACCACGAAAATCGAAGAAAACTGTCATCATGACCTTGATTTTTGAACGACTTTGACGTGCTCTTTTCGGTCTGGCCTCGCCTTTAGCACGATATTCGCTTGATTGGTCGGTTGTTTCAGGGTCGTAAGCATAAATCCAAGTCTCATCTCCCGTAATCATGCATTTGAGCTTGTCCTGATAGTCAGAAAGCATTGTTTCACACACATCAACGCGGCGACTTTTTTGCAAGAAATTGAGCGTTTTCGGTACCAAACGAGATTTGACTTTTCGTAGGCCCAAATGGTCTTTCAAAATTGTTTTCACAGATCCTTCTGATATTCCGATCATATCAGTAAGGTCTCTAACAGTCAACCGACGATTTTCGAGCACTAATTCCTTCACTTTATTGACGTGTTGGTCATCTGTTGACGTCGATGGTCGTCCGGAGCGCTCCAAGTCATCAACACGTTCTCGACCCTCTTTGAAGTCTTTGTACCACTTA